AACTTCAGAGCTAGACCTGTGAAGTCTCAAGGTAGTGTGGCACAAGGAGGTAACTGGGCTCCTGCATGTGCTAAATATGGTAGGACCAACCCGGGTAAGTGTCGCGATGGCTCCATAGGTTGTTTCAAGTGTGGACAATAGGGTCATTTCATGAAAGAGTTCCCCAAAAACCTATAAAGTAATATGAATCAGGGTAATAGAGCCAAATCTTCATCAATTGGTCCACCAAACAGGGCTGGACCTAGAGGAGCTACTTCTGGTACTGGCGGAGGAGCAAACCGCCTTTATGCGATCACTAGTAGTCAAGAGCAAGAGAATTCTCCAGATGTTGTCACTGGTATGATCAAAGTCTTTACTCTTGATATTTATGCTTTGTTATACCCAGGAGTGACTTAGAATTGGAAATAATCATTTTAGGAAAGAATGAAAAATCTAGAAATTTGTTATGTTAAGTTTGGGTTTTTTTGGTCAACTTCAAACGACCATAACTCCTAGATCAGGATGAGTTAGGTGTGCTTCCATATACCATAGGAAATATCGTGAAATTTTCTCTCCAACGCCGCCGAGTTTGTGTGATTCCGAGTTTGTATGAGTGAGATATGCCCATTTGAAGTTGGGTTGTTCAAATAAGGAAAGTCTAATCCGGATTTTAGAAAGTCTTTATGGTCTTTTCTATACCCTATTAATTTAATTTCATTTTTGGTAATTAGTTGGGGTCTAAACTGAACTTGGTCAGTTTACACAATTAAGAAATACGCTAGGGCTTGGAGAAAAGAGAAAAGAAGAGAAAGGAGAAGAAAGTTCAAGATTCGTCAAGATTGTGCGAGTTTGGGTGTGGATTTTGCCAAGGATTTAATCCTAGGAGGTACGTGAGACTTTCATAGCATTGGGTTCGTTCACCCACGCGCCAATCATGTTTGTTTCAACAAAATTCATTTTTAGAAAGTTGACAGTATGATGTTCTTGAAGTTTGCTTTAGTTCTTGAGATTTGATGGGATTGTGGAGTTCTTGATGGATTCATGTCGATTTAAGAGTTGCGTTGAGTTAGATTCTTGGGTATATATACTGGGTATTTGAATCTAAAAAGGGATTGAGAAAAAGAATCGAATTTAGGCGAATTGGGGTGAGTAAATGAAGAAGGAAAAAGTTGAGCAGGTTTTGGCACGCAAGTCCGATCCGCGTCGCGGACTTGCTCCCCTAGTGCACAAAAACCACCTCCACGTCGCGGAGAAGATGCGGACTCCTCTTTTTCAAAAATAAATTTTGCGATCAAATATTTAAATGCATCTCCGCATCGCAGACTTTTTTTCAGATAGTGATTTGTTGCTTGTTTCTCATGTTTAACTATCTAAAAACACTCTTAAACATCCTGAGAACTTTCCTATCACTAATCACAGTCCTTGAATCCATAATTTAATTCAAGGAAAGTTAAGAGTCAAGTCAAGGAAATTTAAGAGTCAAGTCAAGGAAAGTTAAGAGAAATTCATAAAGTTTTCCAAAAGTCTTTTACAAACGTTTTAACTTTTTTAAGACTTAAGCTTTGAGTTGAGTAAAGAGTAAGAGTAAAAGTTCATTTCTTCAAAAATTATACAGGAACTAAATATTCCCAAGAGTTAAAAATGTTTTCACATTTGAGTAAGAAAGGGAACATCGATTCCAAGAGAGCTTTTAAGCTAAGTTTTGAGTAATTATCTCAAACCAAAGAAAGAAGTTTTGTTTTAAAACATATGAGCTAAGTATATTTTTGGGAGTAGTATTGAGCACCGATATGGGGATGCGAGTTCATAATAGCTCAAGTCTCCATAAACCATGTAGCCATCATGGGTAGTAAAGGATCATACTTTTTAGATGATTCCTTAAAGTGTTTTTTAGCATAGACTAGTGGATCCACTTAGTTAAGGCGTCCTATATAACATCAAAGTATAGGACAGTTCTAGCAGCGTGGGCAAGATGATGTATCACCACTTAGGCTCATAGTGGTGGTTATCGATTTGAGAAACTCCCACAGTGTTATATTACTATATATGTAAAGTGAGCTGCTATTGTATTTCTTTAACAAATTGAGTTGCTACTACTGTTTTAAATGCTTTGTATAACTGCATCATTACTGTTGTGTTACTTTGCATTTGAGTTAAGTTATCCATGAGTTGAGTAAAGCCAAGGTAAGTGTTCCTTTCAGATTCTTTTTCAAGTCTTACTATATGTTTAGTATTCCCTCGCATACTCGTACATTCAATGTATTTATGTCATTTGGCCTGCATCGTCTTATGATGCAGACACAGGTAATCAGGATTAACATCCAGGGCCCCGTTGATCCAGTTGAGCACTCAGAGTCAGTTGGTGAGCCTCCTTGCTTTTCGGAGGACTCCTTTTACTTTGCTTTCTAGTATTTCAGTTGTTAGGATGATTGGGGGTCGTGTCTCGACATCCCTCCTTGTTTTAGAGGCTTCATAGACAGTTAGTAGTTTAGTTGTCTTTATATTGTTATTTCTTATGTTAAGACTTGAATTTCCATCTATGGCTACTTGAAAGTTTCATTGTTCTTTTATAAATGCATTTAATCATTGTAATAATGCTTAGAGTTTTCCGTTGAGTAAGTAAGTCAGGCCAAGGTTCGCTTGGGGCCAGCAATGGTTCTCGAGTGCCAGTCCCGCCCAGGGTGTAGGCTCGGGACGTGACAACCTAGATCTGCACGACTTTAAAATGCGTCATTGGTTAGTAAGATCTACTTACTTAAATACCCAACATTTTTCCTGTGTTTTACCGATGTGGGACTTCTAATCTTAAGTTGGGGCGTCACATACACCCCTTCTATGGACTCGGCGTCCTCGCTGAGGTTTGCCCCACCGTATGGGATTTACCTATACTCACCATTAAGGTTTGCCCTGCCTTAGTGGGATTTACCTAAACTCAAGTGAACTCTGGCCTACATCGACAAGATTGACACATGAGTGACTTTCATATCATTTGTAACGGTCCAACCCTAGTGATATGGTCTGCTTTGGGCCTAGGCTCGCACGACTTTAAAACACGTCACTAGTTGGTAAGACCTGCTTAGTTAATCACCCAACATCTCTACTGTGTTTTACTGATGTGAGACTTCTAATCTTAAGTCAGGGCGTCACATTAATATAGGTGGGATCATGAAATATTATTATTTTGTAGATGTATTATTTAATCGATAAATTAATATTTATTAATTTAAAGAGTGTTTTGAGATTAACGAAGGTTAATCTTGATTACATCAAAATCGTTGTATCTTACTAATTTATGTATCATATTTATTGAATTAATGTAAAAATAATTTTATTATACATAAAGTACAATGAATACATTAATAATGTTGATGATGAAGTTGAAAATGATACAATATCTTTGGAACCAGTTGCACGTAAGAAAACACTTATCACATCTAGAACTCTTCACATTTTATGGTGTAGTTTGAAAAGACAACAATGAAACTTTTGAATGCAATAAGAAAAGTTAGACATGAACTTCAATTAGATTAAATTTTAACAAAAAACAAAACACAATAAAATTATATTTCACTTTATTGTCTTAAATATATTTGTATTGGCTACCTTCACGTGGTATTCTAGTTGTACCAACTCTAGCATAAACCATGCATGTTATCAAATCTCTCAACATCAGAGATTACATGGTTTTCTATTCATCTCAAATAATTTTTAAAAAATGAAAAAATAATCAAGGCGGGTTTTCTTTCTACCATTGGACCAAAATCATACTTTATTAATGATCTATATTGATTTTACATTGAACTATGGTAATATATTATATTTATATTTGATATATAATTTATATCATATATACACGATGATGCACTATTTATATAATATCGATATATTACACATATATACAACGATTTTTGTTGGTAGTATAGTTACATAAGAATCCCTAAGCCAAGAGTTATAAATATTAGGATATGACTTTTTGCTTAAGATGCAAATCTACACACATGGTATGATACGGTACAATATTTGAAAGTTTTGATATCATAATTTTAGTAATCAATTTTTAAAACATTATATCATTACTATACTTTGGTATGATTCGATATATTGAAGTTTGATTTCGTTATTCAACGATATGGTAAATCGGTAACCATAATTTGTTTAGTTTCAACTATAATATACTCGTATAATAGAATATTATGACTTCGATAATAAATAAAAATGTTTCAATTATATCATACTAACACATTACATATGTAGAAATATATATGCAAAATAAAGTACAAACAACTCATTTTTTTAATCAATTACAATTCAAATATATTTCAATCAAAATATCGTAGTCAATTTTTAGGTTTTAAACATTTAGTTTATACTAATACTAAGTTGCATATTTGTTAGTATATATATATATATACCATACCAAATATCATAATTTCAAAATCGACAATATTAAAAAATTTAATATAATATAATAATTCGATATATATAATACCATATCAATCCCTCCTACACATGGTATACAAAAATAGACATGAGAGTGTGGGGTGTGTCAATTCCAGAAAAGAATAATGAATACTCCCTCTGTCCAACGTGATTTATTTTTTCAACGCCAAATCAATTTGAAGTTCATTTGATCTGAATCAGACATCAACCATACATGATACATGTGACCAAATCTCTCAATATCACATTTATTGCTAAGCAACTACTCTTCCAAAATAAATAATAAATTATATTATTTGTATATTAATAAGCGAAATATATAAACGGAGTTTTGAAAAAATTTAAAATGTATAAATACAAAATTTGTATATACTTATCCTATTAATATATTTGCAAGCGAAACATACAAATCGACAGAACTATACAAATCGCAGCCTCCATAGCAAACAAAACTATAGCTATAAGTGCAATTATCAAAATTATTGTTATAAAACCAACTTAACAGAGGTTTCATTTGATTGGTCAGTGCAAGTTGACTTTGATAGATTAATATTAACTTGTACATTCATTCAATTTTAGAAAGGAAAAGAAATGACTTCTAAAAACACTCTTGTTAATGGTTTGAACAAATTCTCAGACCCTAACTATGTTTCAATTTTCGACACGACGCTTCGTGACGGAGAGCAAGCTCCTGGTGCCGCCATGACCGCTAAACAAAAAATGGACATTGCACATCAGCTAGTCAAGCTTGGTGTTGATGTTATTGAGGCTGGTTTTCCAGCTTCCTCTGAGGTTGAGTTTGAGCTTGTAAAGTGTATAGCACATGAAATTGGTAATGTTAAATTAAATGATCGTCTTATTTAACAAAATGTTATATATATATATATATATATATATTACCATGCGTATTTATATTATGTCTCAACAGGTAATAGCATAGATGAAGAGGGCTATGTACCGATGATTTGTGGTTTGGCGAGATCTACTAAGGAAGATATCGATAGAGCTTGGGAGAGCTTGAAGTATGCAAAGACACCGATGATTCATATGTTTATCTCGACAAGCGATATACATATGAAGTATAAATTAAATATGAGTAGAGAACAAGTTGTGGAGAGAGCAAGGAGCATGGTGACTTATGCAAGAAGTCTTGGGTTCAAGCATGTTAGGTTTGGCTTGGAAGATGCTACAAGGTTTGCAAGTTTTACCTAGGACTATATATATATAGTTTTTGATTTTATACCACTAATTAGCTTGAGTTGTCACTGTCAGATCTGATAAGAAGTTTCTTTGTGATATTATTGGAGAAATTATCAAAGCTGGTGCAACATGCATTTGTCTTGCTGATACTGTTGGATGCAATTTACCAAATGAATTTGGACAACTAGTTGCTCACGTAAAAGCTAATACCCCAGGAATTCAAAATGTGATCCTTGCGGTACACTGTCACAATGATCTTGGACTTGCTACTGCCAACACATTAGCTGTATGTATTTGTTAGCTTCTAACTAAAAATATAATATATCGTTAGTTTGAGTCTCATACGTCGATGGAATTCAGGGAATTTGTGCAGGAGTAAGTCAAGTAGATGTAACCATCAATGGTATTGGTGAAAGAGCTGGAAATGCTTCTCTAGAAGAGGTGAGGGAGAATAACCTTTAATTATTTTTATATATATAAAATGTTAATCTATCTCTAGCTAATTAATATTATTGTTATTTCTATTTTATATAGATAGTAATGGCCATAAAATGTCGTGGAGAGGAAGTACTAGGTGGTGTCTATACTGGGATTAATACAAAACATATATTCACAACAAGCAACATGGTAAGTATATGTATTTTTTAGTTGTTAAAATTAATTATGCATATAATAATATTGTTATACATATATATGCAGGTAGAGGAGTATAGTGGACTTAAGCTGCAGCCACATAAGGCCATTGTGGGTGTTAACGCTTTTTCTCATGAAAGTGGAATTCATCAGGTGAAGATCGACCAACAACCTTAAATTAAATCTCAATTGTGCCACAGACTTTGTTAATCTGTCAAGTTTTATAGGCCAACATACCATGTGAAGGTAGGGTACAAGTTAATGTTAATCTGTCAAGTCTAACGAATCAAATCAAATTGATAAAAAAAATAAATTAAGTTATCATTTGATTTAATTGATTTGTCGTTGAAAAAAATAAATCACATTCGTCATTTTTTTTTCTTTCTAAAATTGGATGAGTGAATAGATAATGTACATCAACGTGATTTATATTTATATACACTTAGTAGTTATGGTGTATTATGCCTAATTAAAGTTTTAAAGATCATCTCATAGGCTGAGTTAACAAACTCAGTTCCATTATCAGACCTGATAATTTTCACCTTTTGATTAAATTGAGTATCTATGTACCTTAGAAACTGCTGCAAAGACACACACACTTGGGATCGTTTGGTACAAAGATTAATAACACAGGAATTAGTAATGCAGGGATTAGTAATGTAGGGATTAATAGTGCAAGGATTAGTAATGCAAGGTTTATTTTTATCAAGTGTTTGGTTCATTGTTTCCTACTTCATCTTGTGTTTGGATTAAAACTAGAGCTGTCAATATGGGCTAGCCCACCCCATCCGGGCTAACCCATACATGCTTTGACATTTTACGGGCCAGGCCAGGCTAGCCCATTTTTGGTGTGGGCCAGAAAACGGCTGGCCCAACCCACAAGTACATGGGCTACAGGCTTGCCGGGCCAGCCCACTTTTTTAAAAGTTATATATTTTTTATAATTATTAAATTAAATTATAAATTATAATTTAAAAATATTATCATAAATATCGACACAACAATATTACATGGTGTTAATGTTACTACTTGTTAATCAAATCCACAAATAAAATTATCTTTATAATATTTATTAAGTTTTTTTTCAAGTAAAGTATAAATATCTAAATTGAAATATTAACCTAACTGTTTTGCAATTATCACAATAAAACATAAAAAATAAGACAATATTCCAACCATAAAAAAGTAAAAAATAAACTCCTTAAAAAATCATGAAACTTATGACGTATCTAACACTTCATGAAACCTATGGCGTATCTAACACTTCATGATCATCTTCATCAAGCATATCTGAATCAACTTGTGGGAAGGTTGTCTTAACATCTTCATTTTCTTTTGCAATTTATATGCGGTTTCAGTTAGTTAAATATTAAAAAATAACTAAATTGAGAATTATAATATTTAAATGTACACAAAAATTTATTACAAGTTTGAGAAAAACCATGTAACCAGTTCGAGTAGCAACAAGTGTTTGGACATTTTCATGGTGGATGCAACTTCTATACTTAGTGATTTCCTAAAAAACTTTAAATAGATTTTGAATTTGGATCTCTTTAATTTTAAATTTTAATATTATATTATATTTTTTAATTCATTTTTATTGGCCCACGGGCCGGCCCTACCTATATTTCTCAAGCCCCACAAATCAGCAGACTTATTCAGGCCAGGCTAAAAAGTCTTTTTTTAAAATGGGCTCCAAAATTTTTAGCCCAGCCCTATTAAATCCCGGGTTAGGCCAGGCCGGCCCAACAGGCCTAGCCCATATTGACGGCTCTAATTAAAACTCTATAAAAAGTTTCTTTCCAATTATACCCTTGTATTATTATATAATTAGGTCAAGGGAGATAATTGTCGGACAATGTTATTTTTTTTATGACCTTCTAACTAGCTAGGTGAAGAACAATTTTGTTGTCATGATTGCTATTTTTCACTTGAATTATTTCAGGATAAATAATTGTCATTTTAATAAATTTAGCACTCACAAAATGACATTTTTCAATTTAAAAAAGATAAAATCATCTACTTTTAAAAACCGATAAGACGGTAAAACAATACTTAGTAAAATTGAGTAAACCATCTACATTTACACATAAAATTGCAAGTTATAGTTTTAATATGTATGCAATTTTATAAATTGTTCAAAATACAAATAATTAGAAAACCACACACACATATATTATACATTCAATTAAGAAACATCATGTGGTGATATATTTACCTTTTTAATTAGTATATGTTAAATTCACATTTCAAAAATTGTATTGAATTTACTTAGTAACAAACAACTCTCTCTAATAATTTATATGCTAATTTATTTAAATTAATTTTACTAATACAAATATAAAACATAAAATCAAGAAAATAAACAAAATGATTAAAATGATTTGAGGGATATTTTTGTCTTTACATAGACTTATCCCATGGTATTAAATTCTATGTATTACTAATACCTCCAAATAGAAGGTCGTAGTAATACATCCTCTAATACCATGTAGGGTGTATAACTAATCCATGAATTAGCTATACATAGGCCCAAATTCTTACCATACATAGTACTATATAATACCATACATAATACATGGACTATTTCTCCTAATACTTCCTACCAAATGACCCCTTAATATCTAGGTAAGAACCCAAGAGAATTCATAAAGAGATGAAAGAAGATGATGAAATCAGATTTTATAAAATCTATTTTAATATTTGGAGTACATGTGTATTTATATACATTTTAGTAGTTAGGAGATAGTTAGTTAATTATAACTAATTTTTAATCCTAACTATTGGACACTAGCCTAATTAACAACCTTAGGCAGCAATGACTAAACTACCCTTACAATGTCTATTTTAGTCATTAACAATATTCATAATTTGAGTAAGTTAAAATAAGAAAATCTACTACACCCTCCGTCCCATTTTATGTGAGGTAGTTTGACTTGACATGAAGAAAAAAAGAAAGACTTTTTAAACTTGTGGTCTAAAATGAATTATAGAAATTTGTGTAGATATAAATCAATTCATTAAGGGTAAAATGAACATTTTAAAGTTAAACTGTTACCTTATATAAAAATGTGTCTTTTTTTTTTTAACCGACAAAAAAGAAAAATAAGTCATATAAATTATGATAGAGTGAGTAAAATCTACCTTCTAAATAACATTATGTTCTCAATTTAAAAAGTTTCATTCTTCTTTTTTTTATTAAATTATACGTATTTAATTTAGGATGGAATACTAAAGAACAGAAGTACATATGAGTTTATATCTCCTGAAGATATTGGATTTATTCGTGCAAGTGAACATGGTATTAAATTGGGAAAACTCAGGTACGCATTAATTTTTTTATTTTTCATACAATCATTGTTTTATTAAGATGATGTTGTGATACAATTGTTGGATTTATTATGCTCCTAAAGTTCTCAATGATTCATTTCGATCGATTATTTTACAAAATTTATATACATTTTTCAAAATATATCGTCTCAGTGGTTTTATTTTTTTATTAATATTGGTACGGTTCGCTTTCTACAATAAGAAAATAGTTATCTACTAGCCATGTTTTCTTTCTGTGATAATGCCATAGATTTCAGGTTCGATAGTCTCGAGAAGGTATTAGCCACTGGTGACCACTTTCTAGCCTTTCGAAAACGACCCTCTCCTTACAGTCAAGTGGTTGAACGACCTCCATCCTCCTTAACTATGTATGACTAATGAACTCCTCGCCTTAGTCCGTTCTTTTCCTTCTTTGGGCTCGGGTCGTTAGTAGCCGTGGTAGTAATGCCCCGGAGCCCAGCTACCGATGGAAAGATTGAGCATAAAAAAATATAGAGAATGAGCTATTACGTGCAAATATTGGAAATTCGATAATAAGAGTCTGATCTTAGATTATTGCATTATCATTTTAGTTCTTTTTTCCATGTGTGCTACTCTCTATTTCACTTTATTTAGTCGTTGTTGCTGCTTTCATTTATATAGTCTCTTTTTCGAGTTATTTTGAAATGTTTTACTTAAGTCGATAGTTGATATCGAAAACAACCTCTTCATCTTTATAAGGTTTTTAATGGTAAGATTTGTGTACACTATTTTTTACAGAATCCACTTGTGAAATTACACGATGTATGTTGTTCCTGATATTGTTGGATTAATTTTTTTTTTAAAAGTATATTATGTAAGAGTCACAAGTAAAAGTTTAGAACATGTTACAATGCATACTTGCATATACTGAATTTTGACAAAAGCTTTCAAGATATTTTTACTATTTAAAAAGTGATGAAATTAAAAGAACATGAAAAATGATCAAAAGAGAAATTCATTCCACTCTTCTATAGTAATAATGTAAAGAAAATTAACTAAAGACAAAAATAAAATCACATATGTGTAAAGATATCAAATAAGATAAAACTCAAAAAAAATGAATCTAATAAAGAATTCAATAAGATAAATTTAAATCGTATCAGAAAAAAGATATTCAATCTAAATCTAATAATTCTTTTATTGCAGTGACATTGACATATTGTGACACAAATTGTTCATGTTTTTTCTTGTCGACTTACATATTTATTATGTTCCTTCCATTTTATTTTATTTGATAATATTTTTTTTAGAAAGTATTTAAGAGAGAATGATTATTTCATTTATATTTGAAATCTTTTAAATTTTGAATTTTGTATTCTACCTTTGACAAATTTGATAACATGGTGAATATTTTGTGCAGTGGGCGTCATGCATTGAAAGCCAAAATGCTTGTGGTAACATACATATTCTAAGAGTTCAACAATTAAATTATGATATTTTTATATCGATATGTATTAACACTCAATTTATTTTGTCATAGCTTGGATATAATTTTGAGGAAAAAGTACTTGAAGACCTCTTTTGGAGATTTAAGTCAATGGCTGGTAGTAAAAAGGTAAATTATATTGTTGATGTTTTTTTATGGGATAAGACACTAGTACCCCCTAGACTATGACCGAAATCCCAGAGACACACCTTAACTAAATTAAGGTCCTATTACCCCTCTGAACTTATTTTTTTGTAATTTTGTACACCTTTTTATCCTACGTGGCCTCCAAACATCTCCCACGCGCCTCACTAATTAAGTGGAGTCACAGAGTGTGCCACGTAAGTCAAAAGGTATACAAAATTACACAAAAAATGAGTTTAGGGGGGTAATAGGACCTTAGAATAGTTAAGGTGTGTCTCTGGGATTTCAATCATAGTGTAGGGGGTACTTGTGCCTTATCCCTTTTTATATCGATGAAGTTTACTTGAGAAATTAAAGATTTACGAGGTTAAAGAAACTAAGCAAATGTGAGAAACATATAGTAATATATATAGAAGAACGTACAATAACGCGATTACCAAATACTACTACTAACGTGGAGAAGTGTAGAGACAAAGTATGACACCTTAACAGTAGTGTAGCTCCACCCTGGTAAGGATTACGTATATCCTATCCTACATAAACCTTATAAAATTCTACTAGGTATATATTGTTGTTATTGTATGTTTTTACCTATTTATCTGTTCTTACATTTGTGTTTTTCTTCAGAATATAACAGATGATGATTTAAGAGCACTTATATCAAATGAAGCTATCCAGACTCAAATTGCTTGAAAACTTGGAGATGACTACACAAATACATGTAAATAATACTTTCTTTATTTTTACTGGTCTTCTTTAATTAATTAACTTAGTTTTATAATATTTATTTATGCAAAGGATTGCTGTTAAATGGAAATATTATTTGATACAGGAGGTTCTCACCTATTGATGGCAGAGCTTATCTAATGTTGCAACAGCCAAGGGTTTTGTGCTACATTAATTGATGTATTAAATTTACTTAAAGGCTCTAAGGTGTGGATTCAACATTTTAATTTTATAAGTTCAATCTTTTAAAGTTTTTACTTTTTAGTATTGATCTTCTTGTACTTTCTAAACCATGAGTTTAGACTTTTATTTGTTGTAATTTTAATAAATTTATGATCCGCGTTAAAAGTATTGAGTTAAGATAAATATGATATGTGCATGTTGTGTCCGCCACTAGAGTTGGGGTATGCGCCTATATAATATCCTAAAGAGTCTTGAGTAAGAGCCATCTTTTTAATGTAAATATCTATATTTTAATAATTTCTACATTATAGCAAAAGTAACTTGAAATATATTAATTTTATAAAATAAATTTATATCAAGTTAAATAGTGCCACATAAAATGAAACAGAAAAAATACCAGCTAGCATATATATGTTCATAATGCACACTTAATCATAAAAGTTAGTAGGATTTTTAAATTGTGACTTCTGATTTATTTTGTTATTTTAACTTGAAAATAAAAATAAATATTACTTCCTCTGTCCCAATTTATGTGACACTATTCGTTTTTCGAGAGTCAAACAGTTTAAGTTTGACTGGGAATTTGCGAATAGAATCTTCAAAAAATTTTAAATGAAATTTATATATTTGTAAACTACATAAAAAGTACTATAATTCACAACAATTTATAATTCAAAATGTTTAAAAGATCTATGAAAAATTTACGGTCAAAGATAGATTTGTTTGAACCTCGAAATTCAAAAAATGCCACATAAAATGAGACGGAGGGAGTATAAAATGCTAAAAAAAGACCACAATCCAAAAGCTCTTAGGATATTTTGGTAAGCTAATTATAATGGTCCCTTACTTACCAGATGTACCAATTCTAAGTATTGAAAACGTGTTCTATTTGTGGCATTGGTGAAAATGGTGAGGGAGGATAAACTTTTATTATTTTTTTGAGGTTATATATTGTGAGGAACTGAGGTTAAGCTGCAGCCACATATATGCATATCTTCCACTAACCTTTCGGTGGAAGAATCAACTACTAACCCAACTTAATCCATCAAGATAAGTTATGAAAACCAAATTATGAAAGAAAACAACTCAGAAACTTAAAATTTGATAAAGGATTGAGTTTCTGTACACTCAATCAAAAGTCAAAACATTTATGAATCAACCCCTAGAAATTGAAAGTGGTAGTACCCAAACTCTAATTAGTTAATAATGGGGTTGCAACCCCAAATGCTAGGAAACATAAAATTAATAGTCTAAAATCAGTGTCCGAAAAATGGACAAGAAGATGTAGAGAAACCCATGACATCCTAGAAGAATAGCTCGCCCTTGGATTCGAAGTCAAGTGTCTCTCAACCTGCGGCCTCGTATCAGCTACCTAGATATGTCTTATACTCAATAAAAAAAAGAGCAAGTGCAGTATTAGTACACAACAATAATGTACTGGTACGATCACACAACCAGTTCCAAACTACGAATGTAAACAAACAACTACAACATAGTAAACATGGGTCAACACTTATAACAACAATCACGAACACATAGACTCCTAGTCACAATATCCTGAATCAACCAATAATTGGAAGATTTTCCATATGATCACAATTACACATACCAGTCCTTTCATGGAACCATAAATACTTATACCCGATCCTCCCACGGAATCCACACACAAATTGTAAGTGTACCAGCGTGGTACCCAAGACAACTAGTGTTAGTATTCATACTAGGCATGGTATTCGAGGAAACCGTTAGTGTTGACACCCAATTTTGACCCTCCCCGATATAAATTAATTTTCGAACTTCTTAAATTCCAAACGATTTGAAATAATTGACTTTATAAAATTCAAAATATTTTTCAAGTTACTTTTAATTGATTTTATCATTTTTATAATTTTTAAGTAATATATATATTTTATATAATTTTGCATATAATTAGTATATTTTAAAAATATTTCGAAAATCATCTCAAAAAGATTTTAATTTTAGTAAGTATTTAATTAAATTAGCTTAGTTTAAATTGTAGTTAATATTTTTGAATTAATTAATTTTTAAGTTAATTATTTTATTTCGTTAAGATCAAGAAGTTCATTAATTAATTATATTAATTTGTCATATTTAATTATTAGCCAAATTTGTTAATTTAACTCAAATTGACTATTTCTTAAACTCCAAGATATAACCCTTTTCACCTTGCCTTAAACCCATTTTCGGACCCGTTTTGGGCCTATTTAAATCAGGCCCATTATTCAGCAACCCAATGCCATTTCCTCATATTAAGCAGCCCATTTCCCTTAATTTTTCAACAATAATCCAATTCCAATCCAGCAGCCTCAGCCTTGCGCGTGCGTCTCCCTCGTTTTCTCGTACGGAATCTAGATGTCTCCATCTTGTGCTTCATCTGTCCTTGCACCAAATCGGACAGCTCCCCTCAAAGTTCCGTTAAGAAATTGGTACTGGTCCAGCAGCAACCTTGTCCTCCAGGGAGAAATTCGAATTTGAAAATTTGGAATGGACCCTAATTCCCCTTCGTTTCCCCCCCTTTTTTCAGCCTAAAATCTCCTCTACTTAAGCGTCTTTCTTCTTCTTTATTTGGGTGGGTTTTTTGCTGGTAGACAAAAAAAAAAAGGTTGGAGATAACTCATAGGGGGGAAATTTCATTTTTTAAGTTTCAGTTTCTTTGGATTTCATCTAAGAAACAGTGACTAGAATTACATATAGGAATAGATTCGTTTAAAAAAAAAAAGAGGGCACTCATTAGAACAGGGGAAAAATGCAGTGATATATGCTCTCAAGAGAAATTTCGACTTCTATAGTCATTGAGTTAAGAGCTTCGAATCTGGAGCTCTCGTCCTAAGCTCTTTGTTCTTTTTCCCCGGAACTTCCATTGGAGTTCCTTTCACGTGGTGGTGGAAAGCTTTTCAACTCGTCGTCTCAGTTCACTGCCTGGAAGAAGGTAAAAATCTCTCCTCTTAGCTCTGCCTCGTTAACCTCTAATCATTCTTTATTTTTTGGTTATGCGTTTAAATCGATAGAAATCCTTGTTCATTGCTTGTTCGCTGAAATTTGGATGGGTAGTTTAGTATTCTGTTCCTTTTCTTTGATTACTGCTAATTCGCATGTGATTCTTTAAAATGTTGAAATCTTCCAGCAAAGTTAGCTTATTTCTTGTGTTTATCTGATTATGTTCGCTGATTGCTCTTTCCTATGTTTTGGGGTTTCAACTGTTGTCAGTCTGCCTTGGTCCAAATTTGTTCATAATTAGTATTGCTCTTGAGTTTAGTCGTTTAGACGTTCTTAATCATGTATTAGTTATCAGTTTAATGACATAAATTTCCGTATCTTGCTTAAAGTGCAGCTGCTGCTTGGGTTAAGAAGTTAAGGTGGTTATTTTAGTTCAAATATAAAGCCGTACATGTTGTGTTGCATAATACTAATGCACATCTCTTGGATCGTCACTGTTTTAGCTTAGAGTCTCGATTGTTGTTGCTTTTCGCTCTGGCCAAATAGATGTATCTTTCTTTATTTCCTCTTGATCAAGAATTAATGGAACGAATGTTTGTCTTGAAATGCCATTTGAAAGTTTTGTTTAAGTTAACATTTGTAGTTAGTCCTTGTTTGCCTTTTAATTTGTCTCATTCTAAAAATACCAAAAGGGGTAGCTTTTACAGTAGATTTGAGTGAGATGGTGGAGTTGAATATTTTATTGCATAGCTTCAACAGGTGGTTTGGTCTTGTTTCTTGTATTTGCCTTTGTTAGTAATAGCACTGTTACATCTCATTTTTCTTTTCTTTACTTCAATTCTAAATGTAGTATCCATTTGCTAATTTTCATACTTGTCTTCATTGCAGGGCAGGCTCTTTCGTGTGAGTCCACCAGACTCTTTTCCAATCTCTTTTGCATTTCAAAGTGGGCCACAAAGGCCCAATCTACTCTCCTCTCAAGTCAACCTTTCATCAGTGGATCAAGGGGTTGAAAGGAAAGCTGAAACAAAGCTGGAAAACAGAAAATGCAAGTGTTCGGAGCGAAATTAAAGGCTGTATACACTCCGTATACAGCAGTATACATGAAATACCCAGAATATACAGTGATATACAGAAGCGGTATACACTGTATACAGTCACGAAAATGGGCCAAAATTCTAGTTTTGTGTTGTATTATAATTGGGCCAAAGGCCTATTTATTTTTAGTATCATATGCTAGTTTTAGGACAGGTGCAAATGGGCTAAGAGGCCCAAAATAAAAATTAGGCCCAAGTACTGGCCCAGGTGAACAAAAAACCAGACTTGGGCCCAAAACTCACTCTCGTTATTTTATCTATTTCGTATTTGTCTAATTGTTTATTTGCTAGTCAATTTTAAGATTTTCCTAATTCGATTTTTCCAAAAGATAGTCATTTCAAGATTTTCTAAAGGCAAAATAATTTTACTTATTTTATTACTCGATTTACTTTGAAATATTTTACTTAAGATATCCCTTATATCATTTCCCTTTCACCTAAAAATGATTTTGTCTTAAAGTTTGTCTATCTCTTAAACTTGTTTAAGCATGCCTTTTTTTTAAAAACCGTTTAGTCAAATAGTTAATTACCGGATAACTGCGTGTTAGCGGACATTTCGGGTGCTTTCAAGCCCTTCTCGAAATGCTAATATGAACCCCGAACCCCTTTAAATAATTTCAATTGATTTCTGTTTTAATCTTTTGAAATAATAGTTTTCTTGATTTTTCTTTAAAAAATAAGTGGCGACTCGAAACCAGTCTAAATCTATTTTTTAAAATAAAACAGTTAGTATTCCTATACTAGTGTGGTACCCAAGCCAACCGACAATCACAAAAAGCATGCACAATCACAATCATATCCTTCCCTATGTTTTCCCCAACATGCATCACATAAGTGAAACTATAAAGCACTAGACATGCATACATACATAACTTGAAAAATGCACAATCATCACCTACCTTGAATCAATTCTTGAAACTCTAAAGAACCCAAGCTTCCCCTTTTTCAATGCCTTGACTTGTTCTTGGTCTAAAAAAATAATAAAACACAGCAAGTAATCAAAATTATCCTAACAATATCTGAGTTATACACAATTCCTAACCTCGATCAGTTTATGATCATTCTACCCAATCCAGAGCTTTTCCCACCATTAGCTCCAAGAGCAATA